TATATATATATATATATATATATATATATATATATATATTGAGAGAAGTTGAAATTAAACAGAGTTGTGCTTGAAAAGAGTTTAAGAACTATTTTGCAACTAAATATTAATCACTGTGTGCTTAGATTATTTCTAATTAAATCATATATCTGGTTTTAGTATTAAAATTCATCAACAGGCTGATTTAACATACAATATCTAATTCTTTTCAGTAGGCCATGACCTCGATCAGTAGTAAGGATAATTTTGGATATCTTTCAGTTGGAAGGACCTCTGATACTTCCCTCAAGTGTGAGAGTTAAAAATGGTTTGGATTCTATCTATTTTTGGTAGGAAGGCTTAGTGAAAATCAATAATGCCCAGGGGCGTCTTAGTTTAATCCTAGAGAGCTACTATCCTGCAGCTTTGATGAACCTTTGCTCTGATTCAACTAGATGAAATGAATGGCTCTTTAATCGACCAAAGCTGAAAAAACTGCTGATAGGGGAATTCGGCCATTTGATACAAACTGTCTTATCCCCATTCTTATTTATAGTTTTTGATGGTCAAGTGAAAAAAACAAGTACAGGGAGGATTTGTACTTTGCTTATCATGAATTGCTGAAAGATGTAAAACTAAAATAAATAAAGTTTCCTTTAATTTATCAATTTCAATATACTAAGCATCTGAAATTATATATCTGGTTTTACCTTTAATTATAACTTAATGGCTTATAGTTTTAATGGGTGTGATCATGCCACCCATGTGTGATCAGAATGTGGTCACAGCTAGTTAGAGAGGTGTAAATGCTTCTGCTCTGCAGTGGTCCAAGGGGTCAGGCTGTACTTGCTTATTTCTAAACAGCTGCCTTCCTTCACCATCTCTGCAAAGCAGCTACTGCTGCACTAACCCACTGTTCACACCTGTTGATCTCGCCTGCTACCAGTTATCCAAAATGCTGGTGGTGCAGCAGCTGCAAGAGGCCCCTTGATGTTTAGCTCTTTCTCTATTATACAACATTTGTGAGCCATGCGCACTTTGGCACCTTTGAAGATCAGCTAGCTTTTAAGGAGCGTACCAACTGCCCAGATGTTTCTTATCTGCATGGTAGCTGGTCGGCAGAATTTGATGATGTAGAAAGGAGTGTTTGATTTAAACAGCTTTAATTAAACAGGGAAAAATGTAACATATGTAGCATATTGGGCCCTGAGTCCCACATGGTAAACAGATATACTGACTGCAGGTCAAATCAAATCTTCCACTGTATTCATAAATTAACTCTATAAGTTATTTATTTATATATATAGTTTTAGTCCTGTATGTGTTTCAGGGGAAACTCTATTGGAAACAGAAAATGAGCCATAAACGTGTTCAGCTAAAGGTTTATAAAGAAGATACTCTAAAGAATTGTTGTTGAATAGTTGCTCTGACATCTTTACAATTCTAATGATGCGCATAAGTTTTTCTTTCCATTCACAGTTTATCATGTTATTCCATATATAACACAGTAACTTTAAATCTTCCAATAAGTCAGGTAAAGATCTATATCACTGTATAATTCATCATGGAAAGCAAGAGCAATAAATGTAAATCCCTTCATTGTCCCATAATGGGGACATTAGTTCTCTGCATTTAACCCATCTCTGGGGGTGGATCTTGTCAAACCCTAAAGCCACCCTGAGTAACTTGGAGCTCTGGATGTTGTTGGACTGTAGCGGCTGACATGCCTCTTCAACATCGCCTGGAGGCCCAGGACAGTGCCCCTGGATTGGCAGGCTGGGGGTGGTGGTTCCCCTGTATAAGAAAGTGGACCGGAAGGTGTGTTCCAATTACAGTAGCAGCCATTCAAAATTTCCCCACTTTTCTTGATGGGCCCTTGTCTGGTCCCCTACAATTCCTTTTTGAAAAACAATCTTTGTACTAAAATATTATTTCTGTCATGATTTGTTGACATTAAGACCTTAAGAGAAGCATAATCTCCTGGTCAGACCCTGTAATTCAGTGAAAGGGTGGAGTCAGAGAAAAAACAAATTGTGCACACGCAGGAGAAGGCCAGTGGCTGGAAGTTGGAGGGGATTTGTTGGAGTTTGACAGGGAAGGGCCATTTTGAAAGGCTGCTACTGTATAAGGGAATCACACTCCTCAGCCTCCCCGGAGGAGATTCCAGCTTATTTCTCAAACCTCGGCTTCAGGAGGAACATGGTTGTTTTCATGGCTGTAGAACAATGGACCAGATCTACACCCTCTGAAGGGTGTTCGAGGGTTCATGGGAGTTTGTCCAACCCATTTGTGGACCTGAAAAAGGTATTCAACCAGGTCCCTTGTGGTGCCTTGGGGGGGGTGCTTCAGGAGTCGGGGCCATCAGGTCTCTGTACAAACAGAGCAGAAGCCTGGTCTGCATTACCAGCATTACGTGGGACCTCTTCCCGGTGCACGTTGGACTTTTGATTTACCATTCCTACCCTCACCTACGGTCGTGAAATCTGGACCATGTTCGAAAGAATTGAGATAAAAGCAGCTGAAATTAGTTTCCTCTATAGAATAGCTGGGCTCTCTTTTAGGGACAACATAAGGAGCTCGCTCAAAGTGGAAAGGAGTCCCCTGATGTGGCTCAGACATCTCTTAAACACCGCCAGGATTCCTCCCTTGAGAGGTGCTACTGGCACATCGCACCGGGAGGAGGCCTAAGGGATGACCCAGGACACAAGGAGGTGTCCTTGGAAAGGAAAGTCAGGGAGTCTCTACTGAGACTGCCTGCCCCTGTGACCCGGTCTCGGATGAAGCGGGAGACGACGAGTATGAGAAATGCAAAAAAAGGTGTAATTATTTTTGACCAGTAAAGGGTTGTGAACTTTACAAATATGTAATTTGTTTGTCATTGTCAATAGTCTTTTTATATATAGAAAAAACCAATACAAAAACAGTCTTTTCGCTTCATCGATAGCCAAGTTTATTTTTTGTTTATTTTTTAACAGAGGTGTTAGACTCTATTCACAACATAGATCTGTTCACTTCTCCACTGGCGATAAAAATTTAACAACATAATATGAGGAAAAAACAAGTACTGTATTTTATAACCATATATTTCTTTTTACATATTTTGGGACCACAAGGACCCTTTGACTCAAAAGTCATGATAAATAAAGCAAGTTGTTTTGAAGAACCATAACTAGCTTGATGCAAGAAGCATTTTCTTTTTACAATGCATCATTTAAATGTTTCAAATCTACCAAGATTTACATATCTCTTTACTACTGAAACACAGAACTACATAATGTATATGTATGTGTATATATACATAAAATATGTATGTATATATATGTGTATATATACATATGATGAAGTGTGGCAGAAAATGGATGGATGGATAACCTTGTCAATCACAAATTTTGAGGAATCACAGCAGATACACAAACAATAATAACATGAATTTCCATTCTGCATTTAGAGCATAAATTGAAAAACAACAATAAGAGGAGGATGTGAAATTAACAGCTGTTTCTTGGATGGTCACAGTGAGAACATTGCTGGCATTACTGGTACCCAGACTGTTTTTAGCAAACATGCGGATGTTGTATGTTGAAGGATTTATCTCTATTATCGTGCCCTCTGTCTCATTGGCATAAAAATCGACAACAGTTTCTGTGTAATCCCATGAAGCTGTTAAAAAAAAGATGTGATTTTATTTAACATGATATAATGATAAGCAACGTATAATAAAAAGAAAACACTTTCATTCCAATGGATGCTTCTCTCACCATTTGCTTCTTTAAACTCCAGGTAGAAACCTGTAATAGGGCTGTCGCCTTCAAAGCCAGGAGTCCAGAAAAGGGAGATTTTGTTGTTTGTCACATCCTCTAACCCAATTACAGGTGGATCTGGAGGCACTAAGAGGAACACAGCCAGGATATTCACTGACAAAGCCTGAGCTCATACTGCTTATTAATGCATGATTGAAATACTTCCATGTTAAAGTAACTCAAGCTAAATTTAAAATGTTGATTCAATCAAAAACATCTCTGCTACCTGGAGAGGGAGTCGTATGTCTGGCTGTGACAGCAGCCGGTGAAATAGTAGCCGAAGTGGCTGTTGTTGCCGTTGTTTGATAGGAAAATAAAACAGAAAAGGAGCATGACCTTACAGATTCTCCCCCTAAATGTATTTTTTTAGGGGCATTTTTCATGTTGCAACCAAACTCAGCGATGCCTTTTGTGTCAATTCTTTATGATAAATCAACACCTAATTCAGATTTATTTCAATCAAAACTTGAGAGACAGCCAACATTTATGTGGTAACTGAGGAAGATCAGCAGTGAAACACTGCTCTGGTGAAAGAATATGAGAAAGTATAAAACTGAACACACAGATTAAACTGAACACAGAATATAGTAGAACATGGTTCTGAAAATCCTGAGGGGATCCAGTTCTTGAGAAAAAAGCTAAAAAGGCACAATTCAGGATGTAAACACTGTCAGTATTCAAAAGTACTGTAGAGCAGGGCAAACGTTCTCCATTTAAAGTGAAAACCACCCAATCGTGCAACAGAGCTACAATAGGAAGGTGTGTTTTAAAGTGTAAACATCAAATAAAAATAACCCTTTTTTGCAGAAGTTGGACACCATTGTTTACATAGGTTGTGCATCTATCTTGAATGAACTTGCTTTTGTGGAAAAAACAAAGGACAAAAAATTGTCCTTGTGTACAAACCTGGTAGAAACACATCTCTAAAAAGCTTTAACCCATGGAAGCTGAAAAAAAATGCAGCTATTCTTTACAAACACTTCTTGTTGTAAATGTGTTCAAATGGCTTCATTGTGACAAAATGTGAAAAAAATTTGCTAGACACACTGCACATAAAAGTTACTGGATTATTTTACCTGTTCCATTTGGTGCAAACGTCAGAACATTGCTGGCATTGCTCATTCCCACACTGCTAACAGCAAACAGGCGGAAGTCGTACAACGTTGCAGGACGCAAATCAGCAACACTGGTACGAGTCCCTTGAACCCAACTTCTTACAGCACCACTCCATGAATCTATAAATGAAATAAAAGTTAAGATGCAGATTTCATAATATAAAATATTCATTCTTAATAATTGATGCACTGCTAAAATGACACCATTCCTTTGGGACCTCAATCACCCCTAGACGCAAAGGCGATCTTACAGTAGGTAGAGTCATTCATTAAAGTAGTAAAGAAGTCATATTTAAATGTCAAATCATTCTGGATTAAACATGTATATAAATGTACTCTTTATTGGACGATATTGTCCCAAAAGTTAGAAAATTTCAATAAAAAAAAAAGTATTAGAACCTGTGAGTTATTTTTTTTTACTTTGTTATTTTATGCAGCTCAGTTTGTTATACGTCAACTTGTACACCTAAATTCAGCCAATCGTATATCAATGCTCATCTGTCAATCAAATTCTTTCAGTCATAGCATCTTGATTCATATGCAGCAGCTAATATACACAACTGTTGAAATAAAAAATAAGAATTATTTACTTTATCATTGAGGCAAAGGCTCAAACATGTAAGGCTGTAAGCCTTCTACACCAAACCAAGCTTCTGCCGCTGGCTTTCCTCCTCTAAATAAAAACTTTATGACGAAGAAGACTCATCCACGACCTCTGACACAAAACTCTTCTCCTATTGCATGTTTCTGCTGTCCATGGCGTTCCTTGACAGTGTCGTTTCTAAGAGCTGCTTGGTCCCAATGTAATTTCCCATTGGGGATCTATTAGCACTAAGTTTCTAACTGGTTAGCAAGATGCTTCCGACAAACTGGCCACAACCAAACTTGCTTGCGGACCTTCCGCCACAACAATCCTGCCCCCTTGATTAACGACCAATCACATTCACTTTATTCACTCATGTAAAGTCGGGCACCACTCGGAGAATTTGAAAACACAATGGTTGGAAGAGCCATTTCCCTATGACTTTAAAGATATTGGGGAGGATTTTCGTGATTTTTTTAAAAGACCTGCCCTCTCAACTGTACCTGTACCTGCTAACGACAGGAAATGCCCATTAAACTCATGCATGAGCCCATTTCTCCTCGTACACGCTTTGTTTGAAAGTTGCTGTTCTCATAGCTCATACAAGCTTACTGTGTACGAATGTCCACCCTAACCTCTAAATCCCTCAATCACTATATAGAGCGGGTACTTGGACTTTATAGGACTTTATAGCGAACTCAGTTAAGTGACTGTTCGGACAGATGATACCTACTTTTTGCTCCCCATTGGACACATAAGTCCTCCTCTACCGAGCGGTGCCTGCACCATCTTTGTTATTAGTTGCCGCTGTCGGGTAGCGACAGCCTATAGTGACTGTGGGCCGCTGTGACAGCAAATCCCATAATGCTTTGTGCGGTGAGCTCTCCGGGATTCCGGGATATATCTGCCTCTTCAGAGGCCTTTCTTTTCTTCTTATACACTTCGTGGACACGCTTTCTTTTACGAGCCGCTGACATTTTCAAAGAACCGTGGGGAGAAAGGTGAGCGTCAATAACCATCTTAAACCGTAGCTAACCACATATATGTGCCTGAAAGTGCGCAGAAATAGATAGCTGAAAGGATAAGCATTTAGAATGGCCTTACGTAAACATATCACCAGAATGATTGACAGTTAGGACGACCACTTATTTAGATGATCCACCCAGAATTAAAAGATTGCCCTCTATACCTCAATAACCATATCCTGTGCTTGGTACGAGATTTGACACATGTCCTCAGAGACTCAATGCATTTTTCATTATAATGCATCCTTTGAATGTTTCAAATCTACAAAGATTCGCAATTAATTTTATTTTACTTTCATTCCAATGGATGCTTCTCTCACCATTTGCTTCTTTATAC